TTAATGAGATGCCCCAACTCTACTCTGATTGGTCAGATGGGCCTACTATGATCTGATTAATGAGATGCCCCAACTCTACTCTGATTGGTCAGATGGGCCTACTATTCTCTGATTGGTCAGATGGACCTACTATGATCTGATTAATGAGATGCCCCTACTCTGCTCTGATTGGTCAAATGGTCTATTATTTTGGGATTTGTCTTCTAGTCCAGTCTACTGTCATTGGTTAAATGAATCAGTCTTGTGTGATTGGTCAGATGCCCCTGCTCTGCTCTGATTAATGAGATGCCCATACTTTGCTCTGATTGGTCAGTTGGCCATACTCTTCTCTGATTAGTCAAATGGTCCATTTTTTTGCGATTGGTTTTATAGGGCAGTCTACTGTCAATTGATTACATACAATCCAGTCTACTGTGACTGGTAATATAGTCCAGTCTACTGGTGGGTTCTACTCTGCTCTGATTGGTCAGATGACCCTACTCTGCTCTGATAGGTCAGATGACCCTACTATGCTCTGATTAATCAGATGACCATACTCTGCTCTATTTGGTTCAATGGCCAAGTCTTGTGCGATTGGTCATATAATCCAGTCTACTTTGATTAGTCAGATGACCCTACTCTGCTCTGATTGGTCAGGTGACCATACTCTACTCTGATTGGTAAAAGTGTCTATTCTTTTGCGAATGGTCTTATAGGCCAGTCTATTGTCATTGGTTAAATTGGCCAGTGTTTTGTGATTGCTCACATAATCCTGTCCAGTGTGATTGGTCCTACTCTGCTTTAATTAGTAAAATGGCCCAGTCTTCTGCAATTGGTCAAATAGTCCAGTCTATTGTAATTGATCAGATGACTCTGCTCTGATTGGTTCGCTGATCATACGCATCTCAGATTAGTCAAATGGCCCAGTCTTTTGTGATTGGTCATATAGACCAGTCTATTGTCATTGGTTATATGGTAATACTCTGCTCTGATTGGTTGGATGACCCCAGGCACGTGCACACATAGGGCTCAACCTGTGCACTGCACATGCCCTTTTAAGTCTTGGATAGAAAGTGCCCTTCCAAAATGATCAAAAGTGCCCCCGCGACGCGACAACCCACCACCCCCGCTCTTCAAAAATGTATTCCTGCACATGCCCTTTGGACGGTCTCTGCACGGGCCTGGATGACCCTACTCTGCTCTAATTGGTTAGATGGCCAGACTCCTTTCTGATTGGTCAAATGGCCCAGTCTTATGTGATTGGTCCTATAGTCCAGTCTACTGTCATTGTTTAAATAGGCCTACTATGCTCTGATTGGTCACATGGCCCTTCTCCACTCTAATTGGTCAAATAGCCCTGTATTTTGCAATTGGTCAGATAGTTTTGTCTGCTGTCATTGTTCAGATGGTTTTACTCTTCTATGATTGGTCAGATGACTGTTGTGATTGGTCATATAGGGTCAACTGACCAATCAGAGAAAAGTAGGCTCTCAGAAAGCTGGGTTAATTTAAAGAAAGTTCTTGAGCCAGCTATTTTAGTCACTGTGGGAAAAGTGCTAAAGCTGTAATTACTGGCTGCTCATTTCAGACCGTTTATAATCACTTCTGTCTTATAGGGGACAAATATTTACCTGCACTTTGATATGCGAAACTTTGCTGAGCTTTTATATTCAGACACTGCTGCACGACACACTGTATCAAAAAAGTCACATTACACCCACACACACACACACACACACAACACACACAACTCCTCGTTTCGAGTCACATGAAGTGTGTGAATAAATGATGATTTCTGTTTAATTTATGAGGTATTTGAAAATGAATGCATTTGCGCTTCTGTGTCACGCAGTTTGTAATCAAATATAGATTACATCAAATCATAGATTCAGAAAAAGTTTCTGGACTCCAGCTGTGAAGGTTTAATGAAGTTTTCCCTGCACATATGTCTGTGCTCGTTGCTTTCCAGATATTTCCCAGAAGTGGTAAAAGACGGTCTTACAAACCAGCTGAATAACCCAGAGGTGGAGGTGGACATCACAAGACCAGACACTTTCATCCGACAGCAGATCATGACCCTCAGAGTGATGACCAACAAGCTGAGAAACGCATACAACGGCAAAGACGTCTACTTTCAAGACTCCAGTAAGACACTTCACAAGAAAATCTCTCTTTCAGTCAGTAAAATGATAGATGCAATAGATAAATGAGGATGATTGATGCTAGTTTATCATGTTAGCAAAATATTCAAATCAAAACATAGTGTCAATCATGCATTTTTACCATAAGTTAAAGATGAAACCTACGCAATGTCTTTCAGTTTAACGCTAGTTTATGTCTTATAAAATTGTACACACCTACCGGCCACTTTATTAGGTACACCTTACTATTACTGGGTTGGACCCCCTTTTTGCCTTCAGAAGCACCTTAATCATTCGTGGCATAAATTCAACAAGGTACTGGAATTATTCCTCAGAGATTTTGGTCCATATTAACATGACAGCATCATGCAGTTGCTGCAGATTTGTTGCCTGCACATCCAAGATGTGAATCTTCCGTTCCACCACATCCCAAAGGAGCTCTATTGGATTGAGATCCGGTGACTATGAAGGCCTTTTGAGTACAGTAAGCTCATTACCATATTCAAGAAACCAGGCTGAGATGATTGTGACATAACTCATCATTCTGCTGGAAGTAGCCATCAGAAGATGGGTACACTGTGGTCATAAAGGGATGGACATGGTCAGCAACAATACTCATGTAGGCTGTGGCGTTAACACCATGCTCAATTGGTACTAAAGAAGTCTGCCAAGAAAATATCCCCCACACCATTTCACCACCATTAGCCTGAACCGTTGATACAAGACAGGATGGATCCATGCTTTCCTGTCGTTGACTCCAAATTCTGACCCCACCATCTGAATGTCCAGCAGAAATGGAGACTCATCAGAGCAGGCAACGTTTCTCCAGTCTTCTATTGTCCAGTTTTGGTGAGCCTGTGTGAATTGTCGCCTCAGTTTCCTGTTCTTAGCTGACAGAAGTGGCACCCGGTGTGGTCTTCGCTGCTGTAGCCCATCCGCCTCAAGGTTGGACATGTTGTGTGTTCAGAGATGCTCTTCTGCAGAGCTCGGTTGTGACGAGTGCTTATTTGAGTTACTGTTGCCTTTCTATCAGCTGGAACCAGTCTGGCCATTCTCCTCTAACCTCTGGCATCATCAACACAGCATTTGCGCCCACAGAACTGCCGCTCACTGGATATTTCCTCTGTTTCAGACCATTCTCTGTAAACCTTAGAGATGGTTGTGCGTGAAAATCCCAGTAGATCAGCAGTTTCTGAAATACTTAGACCAGCCTGTCTGACACCAACAACCATGCTACGTTCAAAGTCACTTAAATCACCTTTCTTCCCCATTCTGATGCTTAGTTTGAACTGCAGCAGATCATCTTGACTTGTCTACATGCCTAAATACATTGAGTTGCTGCCATGTGATTGGCTGATTAGAAATTTGCATTAACAAGCAGTTGGACATAATGAAGTGACCGGTGAGTGTATATTTGTATATAAATATTAAGAATCATATTTAAATAATTATATTAAAAGACTGCATTAAAGGATATATATATATATATATATATATATATATATATATATATATATATATATATATATATATATATATATATATATATATATATTTTTTTTTTTTTTTTTTTAATTTATTTTTTTTTTTTTTATATATATATATTTTTTTTTTTTTAAGGTAAGTGATTGCAAACAATTTATATAGGCTGAATTTTGACAAACAAATAAGGTTCAGTCAATTTTAGATGTTTGCAATTAAACTTAAAAAATAGTAAATGCAATAATCAATTTTTTAGGCCAGTTTGGACACAAAATACTCATTTGTAATATTCATACTTATTTATAATATTTATCCCACTAGACGTTTGTAAAAGATTTAACATTTCACCCACATTTTGACAATTAGTTTTCACAAAAGTTCACAAAATGTCAAATTAGATGCTTTACATAGTTTTATTCAGATGACTTGTATAAAATAGAATACCTATATAAATGCATGAAATACAATCAAAGCTTCCATACAATGTCATAAAAATGTAGCACTGATAATAGTATATAAATTGAAATAAGCCCTTTATAAACATTATGAGTGGAGCAAATAAACCTAAATCTGTTGAATGGACATGAACCAATTGCATTTGCTTTGTAAGTGTTATTTCTTCTCCCACTTTCCCTTCATTTGAAATAAATTATCCATATCCTAACATATACATGTTTTAGTTATTGTTATTTTTTTCTTACAGAATGTGTAAGTCAATCTGATTCTGTGGAATGGACTTGCAATGCAATGTAATAAAATGCAATAAAATTAAATTAAATGTCAAATAAAATGTTCAATAAAATGCAATAAAACAAAATAGAAATTCTATAAAATTCAACAAAATTAATTAAAATTATGTAAAAGAAATAAAATAAAGTAAAATGCAATAAAAATAAATAAAATAATAAAGAATAAAATAAATAAAAATAAATTAAATAAAAAAGAACAAATTAAATTAAAAATTAAATAAAATGCAATAAATAAAAAATACATAATATGAGAAAAAAAATTTTTATTTAATTTTGTTTTATTTCATCAAGTTAAATTAAATATAAAATGAAAAAAGAATTATAAATAAATAACATTCATCAATAGATCTTTACCCTGCTATTGGCAAGGCGAATACATGTAGATTTAACATGCATTATATCATTGCAAACAATTTCAGCCCAATTGTTTTGTTTTGTTTTGTTTTGTTTACAACACAACATTGTGGTGTTCAAACTCAAACATAAAAAGGTCACGGAGTTGAGCTGCTCTTGAATGCTCCACTCTTCTTCTCAAGGAGACACTTTAGAATTTAAGACATGCACCATATGTTCTGTTATTGACACTTTTTCCCCGGTTTCGACCTACTTTAGATCTGACTTTCGTAAAGGAATAATGCATAGATGAAAATAGATTCAATTGCACAGATAAAAATAAGCCCAGACTGGCATACGCATTTCCAGCTCTTTCTAATGCAGCTCTCTGGCGTGTGTTATTCCCTGTAAGGAGGCCATGCAGACGTCCCTCATTCAGCTCCATTAATCTGAAAACATCACACACACAGTCTAGACTAGAGACCCGCTACTGTCAGACACACAGACTCACACCAACAGGAGACTGAATTATGATAATGGGGAATCACTGGATGATATTGTCTGATTTTAGCAAAGATTGGGTTATTTTTAGATGATCTGCATTATTATAGCTATAATCCTTTACATATATGCAGTTTTAGGTTAAATTATGTTTAGTAAATATAATACTATGATACTTTAGGAATATGATATCTGCAATATAAATAAACATGTTTTTCTTTACTTTTTAATTACTCAATAAAGCTTTAATATAGAATATACAGTCGATGGTTAGCCCTCCTGTGAAATAATTTTATTCTTTTTCAAATATTTCCCAAGTGACGTTTATCAGACCAAAAATAAATAAAAAAATAAACATAAATTCACAGTATTTCTATAATATTTTTTTTAATTTCTGTAAAATTGTTCTGTTGATTATCGAGAAAAAAATATTAGCCTAAAGGGGCTAATAATTTTGTCCTTAAAATGGTGTTTAAAAAAATAAAAACTGCTTTTATTCTAGTCAAAATAAAACAAATAAGACTTCCTCCAGGAGAAAAAAATATTGTCAGACATACTGTGAAAATTTCTTTGCTCTGTTAAACAATATTTGGGAAATATTTAAAAAAGAGAACTTCAATAGGGGTATAATAATTCTGACTTCAACTGTACATTAGATTAGTCAGTACTGAAGTCAAATTAGGAGCTTATCTAACAAAATAACTTACAGTAGCACTCTGAATACTAGTATAATCAAATTTATGTTATAGAAAAATATAAAAGACAAGTTAAAAAAAGAGGAAAAATCAAGAGAAGCAAAAAAAAATAGAGAAAAAAATTGGTAAAATTTTGTAGGTTGTATTTTTTTATAAAACTTTTTTTTTGCAAAACTTTGCTTGAATTTAATTGTAATATATTACATTTTTTAAACATGTTCAGTGCCTAAAATGTCATTTTAATAAATATATCTGTTCAATAAATGGATTAAATTTCTGAATAGGAATGATGTTCCAGGGTCAGCTTGTTTAGATGTTAGTCCAGGATTGCATCCTACTTGGAAAAAAACACACTCACCAACCACCATCATGGAAAAGGTCTTTGGTCGCGTTGTTTACATTTTTTTATTATTATTTAATTATTTTTTTTTTACAGTTCTATTAATTTCCATTAGCATTTGCTTAGTTTTTAATAGTACAGAATTAACAGTTAAATCAAGTTGAGCTTTATTTTGATTGTGCTACACTTATGCTGCAAACATCATAATCATAAATAGCAACACAACACTGGATTTATGAGCAGTTTATACCTATACATAACTAACAAATTGAAGCAGCAATCTAACTATACTAACTACTAACTATACATGTACTACTGTATAAACAGTTAAGTACTTTACATAAGCAGAACAATGTTGCGCAAGATACTGTGCAAAACAGGTTAAAGAAAAGAAGTAGTTTAACATTATTGTATATTCACAGGTAAATGCTGTTTTGAGTCCTTGTAAGATGGAGTTTAAGTAGTGTTTGTTGCATATAGAGAAAAGAGTGTTTCTACAGGTGGTTTGTCAAGCCCACTCACCTGTGTGAGGCACACTCAAAAATGCACAATGGTTTATCAAGAGATAATGAGTTATTTTAGGAAAGTGCCTTGTGCAAGTTTGCAAAAACTGATGCAGGTGTTGGTTAAAGTGTTAGATTGAGAGAGTGTGTTTTCTACGGGTGGTTTGTCAAGTCCACTCACCTGTATAAGGCACACTCAGAATTGCATGTTTTTCAAGAGATATGGAGTGATTGTAAGAAAGTGTCTGGTGCAAATGTGCACAAACTCATGCAGAAGTTGGTTAAAGTGTCAGAACGATGAAAGAGTGTGTTTTCTACAGGTGGATTGTCAAACCCACTCACGTGTCTGAGGCGCACTCAGAAATGCATAATGTTTTAATAGTGATATGGAGTGATTGTAAGAATGTTGTGTGTGTGTGTTGATCAGGTGATGAGGAGAGCGGTTCTGGCAGTGGCAGTGGCTTCACCACAGAACCTGAAGTGGTTCACACAGAACCGCCGATGCTGGAAGCCGACAAAAGTGACCCACAGCCGCCGACAGACGCTGGATCTGTGCAGCAGAAACCTTCCGTGACTGTACTGAGCATCCCTGCACTGCTGCTGCTGCTGCTGCTCTGCTGGAGATAATGGCAGATCCTCAGTGGCTCACGGCCACATGGACACACACAGACGATGTTAGCCTTTCCGCAACCGGACTGAACCTTTTACACAAAAAAAAGATGAAGAAAAGCCCATAAAAAAAAGAGGAGAGCAAGAAGGTGTGAGCGCAAACATTTGCATCCTGCTTGTTCCAAAGAATGCTTGGTGCAATCGCTAATCTTGGCCAATCGCTCTCATTTATAAATCTTTTTTTGGGGGGGATGAAACGTGGCTTCCGTGTGAGTGGGACCACCTTCGGGCAAAAAAAAAAAAAAAAAAACAGTAGGGGAAAAATATGAAAATATATTTTTGTTTTCCTTTTATACTGAGACTACAGAACACGCTCTGGTGGTTTTCTTTGTGTTTTTTCTTACGTTTCGCCCCCTCCTGAATTCATCGTACGATACAGTAAAAAAAAAAAAAAAAGCATTATGAATCTATAAAAGTCAACTCGTTTATGTACCACTGTGAGAATGCATGAGGAGGTCATGAGTTCGTGTTTTCAACTGTGATTTGTTTGTTTTCCTCACACACTTCTGATGCTTTTATTCTTTGGTCGAGGTGATTTTTAATTTGCGTTTTATAAGGTGAGCGTCTCGTCCCGTTTTCCCCAAACGATGATTCATTCGAAAGAAATGCTCCATATCCTAATATATAAAGGTTTTAGTTATTAAATGTTTTCTTACAGAGAAAGATTTATTTATATTTCTAATATAATTATATATTTTGGCTTTAGCAGTTAGCAACTTTTATTCAGAAGCACATATGTAACAATATAGCTCTTTATTTGCCCTTTCAGTGCAAACGCTTAATTTATTTTACACGTATAAATATATAATCTGGATGGACCTGACTTTCCTCTGCAGTTTCCTTTTTACTTTTGTGCATTTTTAAGATTAGTTTAAGATTAGAAACGTCAAACTCCAGTGTTAAACCCGTACTTATGGTCACTTATATACACGTTATTGTAATCAGTTGTGTATGCACATACCTTACCTATTATACATGCTTATTTATTTTTATTTTTTTGCTGTCTTTATATGTAATTCACCAGATCAGCCTTTTTATGTGCAGGTTATTTACAGAAATATTGAGTTGTGAATCGTTGGGCTGAGTTCATGAAACTGGCAGAATTCATTCGCATTCACACAAAGGGTGAAACTATACACAAAACAATACATACATGTTCAGTAAACTTTTGTTTTTATTAGTTGTCTACTAAACATGATTGTTGCTCTGCCATTAAAATAGTTCAATTATTATTTTATTTTGAAATAAATAACTCTATTTAAATGTAATTACTTCATTAGTAACCCTATTATTGCACATTACTGTGAACTTCAGTTGACAATAGAGTGTACATTATTAATTTTTTGCTATATCTAGCCTAATCTCATGAGGAAACATAAATATTTTTACAAGTTTAGTTGTAGGAAAATGTATAATTTTAAAAAGGAAGGGTGGCACCGAACAATGCCCCTAAACCATACCTGTCAAGATTGGGATGTGAAAATAAGGGATGTGCCCACCATAATAAGGGATTATTATATGGTCATATATGGTCTCCCATCCAAGTACTGACCAGGCTCAGCATTGCTTAGCTTTAGTGAGTAACCGGTCTTGGGCTGCAGGGTAATATGGCTGTGGAGTAAAACTAAGTGTATATGCCTGGTCCTTTCTCGCCTTTCACTGCTGGTTCTCCTCCTTTTATAATCCAGGTGCTTTACATCATCCCTCAAGCACTGGCCTCATCCCATTCCCATGGCTCTCACCCCCGCCCAGTCACTACATATGTATATATGTGTGTGTATATGTGTGTGTGTGTATATATTCATATATATATATATATATATATATATATATATATATATATATGTGTGTGTGTGTGTGTGTGTGTGTGTGTGTGTGTGTGTGTGTGTGTGTGTGTGTGTGTGTGTGTGTGTGTGTGTGTGTGTGTGTGTGTGTGTGTGTGTGTGTGTGTGTGTGTGTGTGTGTGTATACTGTATGTATATTGACTGGGTGGGGCTGAGAGCCATGGAAAATTTAAATATTATTCAAATCCCAATTAACAAAACAAAGTTTATTACCAGTTTTTGGATTAGATGTACAATATGGATTAGATGTTACAAAAGTTGGATTAGATGGATACAATGTCTGTTGCAGTTTTTATGAAGACATTATTCACACATCAACTAAAACAGCACTGAGTAAAAGATCATAGATATTCCACTTGCAACACTGTCCAAATTTTCAGAATTACGAAGTGTAGGTTCAAGACCATAGGAAAAGAGGCGTATGAAGTTCCAAACCTCAAGCAAGTGTAAAAACCTTTTTTTTTTTTTTAATTAGGAGACTTTATTGGCATTTCAATCACTCGTTAAACATGTTATACTTCAAAATACACATTAACACAAGGTGAGAAAAACACACCCTCTTAAACCCAAATATTTGTGAACAGATGCAAAAGTGCCGTCTGAAATCTCCATCAAAAATGAATGTTTTTCTCAGCCTGGTTTGTTTATGTTGAGATATTTTCATTTAAAGACCAGGAAAATGATTTATTCTTTGCTATAAAAGTGATATTACTGAACACACACACACAGGAGACTGATAACAAACACTGATAAATATTTTAGAAGAAACTTCAGACGGCATTTAGAGGTTTTTGAGAACTCCTATTGAGCATTTTAATAATAATAATAATAATAATAATAATGATAATTAATAATATATTTTTACTTATACAATTTAGTTTTTATGTTACATGTTTAAAAGCTAACAAATGGTCAATTAAAAGTTAGTTGAGAAAATATTGTCCATTGTCCATATTGTCTTTTTATTCTTAATATGCTTTTAACTCTTATTAAACATTTTAATAATAATATTATTATTATTAATAATGAATAATTAAATTAATAATATATTTTTATACATTTTAGTTTTTATGTTACATGTTTAAAAGCTAATAAATGGTAATAAAAAAAGTTAATTGAGAAAATATTGCCCATTGCTTTTGAGTATAGCTTTACCAACTTATTGAACATTGAAGTAATAATAAGGATGATGATAAAAACATTTAAATTCAAATAAGTTAATACAAATTAGAAAGTTCAGAGTTTAGATTTTATTTATAACTCATGTTTTTATGTTACATGTTTAAAGACTAATCATTTTTAGTGTATTTTTTTATTATTTACCAACAAGTATTGGAGAAATAATCTTCAATTTACCCAACATCCAATAAAAGATGTCCTCTGTCATGTTTCATGAATGAAGCCCAATGCGTTTGTGTGTCACTATGAATGTTACAAGGGCACTTTCCTGCTTCTGCTCGTCTGCATTTCTGAATGTTCCCAGTGCAGCAAACACACACCTAAAACATCGAGAAAAAAATAAATAAATAAATGGCAGAATTATCAGTGAAACAGCTCAGACCTCCCGTTATGAATGCTGGCATGTGTTAATGTCTGGTTTTACGACAGCCTCTCCAAAACAACTGCTGGTTTCTAGAAGGAGTGTGTGTATGAAGACGCTGTGCATTCTTCAGCGCTTTATGTTCAAAGCCGCTCCGCTAAAACACTGTTTTCATCACTGAAACGCACAGATGTGTGTGAAGGTTTTGATGCAGACACACGAGCAGCTTTGAAAATGAAGTGTGGAGGAAAGAGAAAGGGATGCTGCGTTTGAAGGCAGGACGGGTAGCTGAGGATGACGGGGGTTTTTATTGCTCATGCCTGGGTACTTTTTGTCTTCCTGGGAAGGCTCAAGAAAAGCACCTCGTGGGTTTGGGAAATGAGAAATTCAGTGAGCTGAGAGAGAGGGAGGGAGGGTGTGTTGAGGAAAGGTCAAACACACGGCTGAGTCTTAAAGTCAACATGAAGATTTTGAACTTTTTTATTTTCAGATTTTGGCTTCTAGCCCTTGTGCTGTGCTGAAAATCAGTTAGAAAAATGACCGACGCTTTGATATTGTTAATCAGTGGTTTTGCAGTTTATAGGCAAATCTGGGATGCATTTTTGTTTGTTTTATTTTTGAGGGTGTGTGTTTGTGTGGGGGGGGGCACTTTTGTATAATTTGTGCAATATTTACATAAAAATTAGGATGTGAAAAAAGCTTACTAATCTCTCACGCGTTTCATGGCTAAATATTAGATGCATCTTTTATTTTATCAACTTTTTATCAACTATTTGCTCAAATTGTAGCTTTTTTTCAGACCTTTTTTTGTTTTTTTGTTTTGTTTTGAAAGAAAAACATTCATTTATTATTTTCCTTCGGTTTAGTCCCTTATTTAACAAGGGTTCGTCAACCGGCAACTATTCCAGCATATGTTTTACACAGAAAATGCTCTTCCAGCCACAACCCAGTACTGGAAAACACCCATACACACTCATTCACATGCACACTCATATACTACAGCCAATTTAGTTTATTCAATTCCCCTGCATGTGTTTGGACTCTGGGGTAAACCGGAGCACCCGAAGGAAACCCGGGGAGAACATGCAAACTCCACACGGAAATGCCAACTAAGCCGGAACTCAAACCAGTGACCCTCTTGCTGTGAGGCAACAGTGCTAAGCACTGAGCCACCATAATGCCCCCAGAAATAAAAGCACACTTTAGAATAATTTATGCAAGATTTACATACAAGTTTGGATCGAAAAAATGCTTGCTAATCTCTCATAATGCTGTTTTGAAGACAAAGTCTTGTAAATATTTTGATTTTATTTTATCAACCTATTTATTATATACCATTAATATATAATATATGGTATTGTCGCAGGGGCACGTCAGATCATTTTGGAAGGGCACTTTCTATCCAAGACTAAAAAGGGCATGTGCACTGCACAGGTTGAGCCCTATGTGTGCACGTGCCGGAGTTTCGTGGCCAAGTTGTTTGTGTATTTTAATTTTATTTTATCAACCAGTTTTTTTTTTTTTTTTTTTTTTCTTTGGGGTGGAAAGGAAAGCATAATTTGGAAGTATTTGCACAATATTTACTTACAAAATCAAAATGAAAAACTGCTTGTTAATCACTCATTTTACAGTTTCATGGCCAAGTCTTGCATGTGCTTTTTATTAATTCTTTTTTTTTTTAAATATAAAATTACGTTTGTGAATTTAATTTGAAAAGAACAACATTGGATGCCTCATCATTAACTCATCTTCATAATTCAGTAAATGTTGCCAAAATTATTTTGATGTTCCTATTTTTTGTGTTGTTTTTAAAACCTAATTTTAGGCCTTTTTTATGGAAAAATTAAATGTTTAATTGAATTATAGAAGCCTTAAAGATGCGACATCCAATATACATCTATATTTTTTACATCCATATTATTATTATTATTATTATTATTATCCATATTTTTTATTCTTATTTTCACTTAAAGTTTTCTTCATTTCTTTTTTTTTTTTTTGCAAAGTCGTAT